TATAAAATACGTGCAGGCTCCGAGGAAGGCGAAGTCGCCGAAACGTCAACCATCGACCAACATCATAAACAACGACAACGACAACGAAAACCTGTACCAACCTCGCGTCAGCTTAAGAAGATTAGATTATAAGGTCATATAAATCAATATATCAACTTTCTATGCCGAGGTTTATAGAAAGTCGGTCTTTCGAGTTATATATATATATATATATATATATATATAATCTCGAAATAAGAATTCATCCTGTGGAATCTCGTCAAACGGCGTTCTACGTTCCCATTTGGTACCATCCGATCTTCAACTGCATTAGCACCAGAATAAGTGCTGCTGTAGAAAACTCCTTGGTTCTACAAGCCCGGCGACGTCCTTAGTTCTATAAGTGAACATCTCGGGAAATTAGGTGAGAAATTATCTCAACCGAGCACTAGAATGCTAGTAAATCAAAGGACGAACTGAGACTTGCGTGGTCCTTGGTAACGTCAAGCCACTCAAGAATTCACACTTTCAAAGAATTGAATATGTGCTGCATAAACAACACCATCATCTGAGTTAAAACAGTACACTTATAACTTCAATGATGCTAAGGTATTTGCAAAACTCAAGACCGCAGGTGCATGCGGTGGGGAACGAACGCGCTATTGGCCCTTCCGGGGAGTAGCGCGTTCACCACCACACCATGCGGGTCCTTCGTTTCTTCTTGTCTCTTAGCTAGTTCTATCGTTCAGTGCCAACAGCGCGGAAAGGACAATAGCGCGTTCGTTCCCCACCGCATACACCTGCGGTCCGGAGTTTTGCAAATATCTCAGCATCATTGAAGTTATATTTCGCAATGTATACCCTGCCGTTAAAAAAGTAGGCAGTAAATAATAAGTTAAAAGTGCACTTATAAATAAATGGCTAACGTATTTGTTTTTTTTCATGTGTTTGTGCATCTTCCATAGTGTTCAGTACTTCTCAATCACCTAGGGATGCTTCGAATGCGCTATTTAGTGGCAATACATACAATTTCAAAGGAATGAAGGCACTAGAACTTAGCAACAACTCTAACGTTCAGTTCCAAGCGCGCATCTAAATTATATCTTTTAATATGTCTTTACTGACCTCATTTTCATCACTCGTTCCACAGGTCTGTTCCCTGCAATACCGTGGGCATTTGCTGAAGCTACACCCTCTGTATGGTCCAGCAACCGGGAGCCACTTGAACTGGATTTCGGCTTGAGTCTCATTATTCTCATTCAGGTTTGATTGTTTGATACAAATCCTTTATTCAATTCTGCAAATGTTATAGTACGAGATTGTTATAGGCGAGTTTACTTGGCTAGAAGACACCCAATAAACTTCTTTTTCTACATTTCCTTGCTTGTTCCTACTCTTTTAGATTATTTCAAATCATTCCCTTCTATTTGTTGTTCCTTGTCGTAACCACGAAGAGGAAGACCTTTTTGTGTGGAAGTCATAAAGCAAAGGAGTAGGAAATGCCACAGTAAAACAATTCTTATTTAAACCACAACGTTGCTGAGATATTTGCAAAACTCTGGACCGCAGGTGTCTATGGTGGGGAACGAACGCGCTATTGTCCCTTCCGGGGAGTAGCACGTTCACCACCACACCATGCGGGTCCTTTGTTTCGCCTGTCTCTCAGCTATTTCTATCAATCTTTGCCACAGCAATCACCCGTCAGCGGGATTGATCTGGAGTGCCCAAATCGGCATAGAACCCAGTTAAGCTGCGGCTGTAGTTGAAATCACAATGTTATACCTTTTTATTTTCTGCCTACTATAATTTCGCGGCAGGGTACTAGTAACATTCTTATTTTAATTCTACTATTTTATTGCCTAATGGCACATGTGGCGCAGTGGACCGAGGCGCTCTGCAACATACATGTGGAATTGATCCACGCGCTCACGGCCCACCATGCCTTCCATCTTTCCGGGGTCAGGAAATTAGTGCTAGACTTCTTTCGGAGGATAGCAGCACTGCTTCGATACATGGGTAGGCCACCGCGAGTCATTGTAAAGGCCAGGTATGCATTCAATCACCTCCAACGTTACTTAATGAAGTCGAGTGCATAGCGCATCTCTCAGGGATCGATCAACGCCGAGACTTTCAGAGCTTAACTTAACTTTTAACTGATGGTTTTAAAAAGCTAGAGATGAAACGCTGAATATGTGCGAACAACATCAAGTGGGGGCCCTACCAATAGCACCATTTCCCCCGACGTTCTTTAGACAACAAGAGCCCAATAATGAAGTTGATGTTAAATTTCGGATGTTTGCGAATGAAACTCTCAAAGTCCTTAATCACTATCGCGCGAAAAGATACAGCTCAAACCTCACTCCAGTGCAAAAACGTGGTATGCGAGAGGTACGAGAGCTGATAAGGTTGAAAACCATAAGACTTTCCGTTAGTGATAAGGGTGGAGAGTTTGTTGTAATTCCTCATCAGTTAGATGTGGAGATAACGAAAAAGCATCTTGAGGATGCTTCGCTTTATCGCCCATCATCTGAGAAGGAATTCAAAAGTAAATACCGAAAATTTAACCACGAATGGGCCAAAATGGCAAGGGCTGCTGGTTTAAAACCATCAGTTATCTCTCAACTTAAAGTTGACTTACCAATATGCCCCGTCTAGTACTTACTGATAAAAACTCATAAGTTAGTATCCAGCGATGATCTTGCGTCTAACGATCTATCACTATTTAAGGTTAGACCTATCATTAGTTGCGTAGACGGGCCAACGGACAGGATAACATGGTTTTTAACCCTAATATTTAACCAGTTGTTGAAACACATTCCAGCCCATCTTACGAATACCCAGATGTTTCTGGATCGTCTACGTACTGCGCAGCCCAACAGCGCGTGCGTGATGGAGTCCTTCGACGTTACCGCCCTTTATACAAACGTGTCGAATAACTCCGCAATGCAAGCCATATTCGAACTCCTTACACAACACGAAAGAGAAATAAACATGTATGGCTTCAGGATAGAGCACCTGATGGCACTCTTAAAAGAATGCTTGAGCTGCTCAATCTTCAGATGGTCTGGAAAGTACTACGCTCAAATAAGAGGGTTGGCAATGGGACAACGACTGGCTCCAAGCCTTGCCATTGCATTTATGTCTAAGGTGGAAGCACCGGTGACTGATCTCGGGCCGCTACTCTACTGTAGGTATGTAGACGACTGCTTTGTCCTTTGCTCAACACAAGAGGAAATGGACAAATGCTTCGAATTGTTAAACACACAGTCAGAGTATATCAAGTTCACCCGAGAAAAGCCGAAAGAAAAATGGCTTCTATTTTTGAACGCACAAATTCACCTAGCAGAAAATGGCTACATTACAAAGTGGTACCGAAAGCCAAGTAGTAAAAATATCTTGGTTCATTACCTCTCCTCTCACACGAAAAGGCGCTTATAAGAAACATGTTTCGAACAGCAACCAACGTGTGCACGGGAAGAGAGCAGAGAAAGGAGTCCCGGAACTTGGCACGACAAATAGCCATTTCTAATGGCTACGAAACTGTGGCTCAGAATAGGTGTAGAGGAAGTCGTAGGCCTCCAAACGACAACTCTAGCGATAGAAGGGTCCCGTTTATCCTACCCTTCACCTCAAATGGTATAAGTACAGCTATAAAACGCTGCTTAAGAAGGGCGGGGTTAGAGAATTCGGTGAGCGTAGTTGAAATACCACCGAGTAATCTTAAGCGCCAGCTAGTTCGTAACCGCCTATATGACCGCCTATGTGCAACTCAAAATTGCATAATTTGCCCCAGTGGTAGTGACGGTGATTGCATGAGCTCGGGTATAGTTGTTTATCTGATCTCCTGTAAGACGTGTGGTGACGAATACATTGGCGAAACGGGTAGACCCCTCTGTGTCTGCATAAAAGAACACCTAGCCGGCAAAAATAGACCAAATACCTCGCTAGGCACGCATAGGACCCAGAGACATAACGGGGACGATTTCGAAGTATGTGTCACGATCGTCGCACGCGAATCAAGAACACAGGCGCGAAAAACTGTCGAGGCACTCTGGATTATTTCCAGAAATCCGAAAATGAACCGCATGGAAGAATGCCTCATTATCACGCGTGATATAGGGCAGTATATAAAAGTGCTTTTCTGATGTGAGGGGCACATTATACTTCCACGTGATTTCTGTGCGGTTGGTCTCTACGTGACATAGTGGAAACCTCATAGGAAGCGGTGAGTGTGCAAAGCTGTGTTCAAAGTGATTGAAATCTTGTTTTGGAGTTTCTTTGTTTGGTTATGGAGGCGTCTGGCCGAGTAGATTGCTATCAACTTGACCTTTCCAGGCTCTGAGGAGGGCGAAATCCGCCGAAACGTCAGCTTAATCGTGAACAAAGAATAATAACACCTCGCGTTTGCTCAGCAAAAATACGAAGAAAATTATTTCAGAGCTTCATTTTATTGCCAAAACAAGCCATAAAAGTGGTAGTAAAGATGTCTTGCGGGTTATGTTGAAATTGAAAACGATGTTATATAAATTAAGGCAGTGTGAACAAAATAGATTTTCCAAGGTCCTCGTCATCACTGGGTCTGTTAGAAGAGTCACTGTTTACCTATAGGAGTGGCCTTGTAAAGAGCATTTTATCAAATTCTCTTTACACCAAAAATGATTCTAACGAATGCTGTTGTTTCTTTCAATTCAGGGAAAATGGGTTAGCGTCACTGCATTGTAATTAACCCCATTCGTGACTAAGGAACCATGCTGTGTTTCTTGACACATCTATGCTGCTTTTTTAACCCATTCAATTTCTTGGATGGGCTCGACAGAGTGAAAAAGAAAATCGTTTTGCGCAGTAACGGAGTTTTTGAGCCCTAAGACCACGTCGTCAAATAATATCTTCCAAGCAAGTTTTAAAAAACTATTGAATATCTGTAAGATTATGCGTGCTAAAACTGAGGGCAGTTGCCAAAATGAGAGCGGGTAGTGTAGAAAAACATACTGCAGCGCAATGCTTCAAGATCACAGAGCAAGGAATATTTTGATGAGTGCTGATCCACCACCTATCTAGCTTCTTCGTTCCGAATCCTCGTTCTACATGTTTACCTATAAGCAAATAAAGTAGGTCGCGACCGGTTGAATTTGTTTGTCTTCGGATGCCAGATGAACGCGAAACGTTCGAATAAGTATACGTCGTTGTGTGACACAATTCTGATTTTACGACTGTTATATCTGCTTGCAGGTGCTTCTTTCCATGGTGCTTTCCATTTGTGGTTATCAAGCAGCCGGCGCTCTGTGTGCCATAGTCGAAGAGGTTCGACTTGGTCAGAGCATGCAATCAGCTTTTCATGACATCGAGATACCTCATAAGGTCTAAGTATTCTTCACAGTGAACCGAGTTAGTCCATAAGACTGACTCTTCATGGCTTCAAGGCTTTGTCTGCTTCACTTTTCATTTAACTCGCGAACTATAGTTATCAGAAACTATCAGCATGGACTAAGGTTTTGTAACTGGTTGGAAGTCTTTCCTTCTAGAAGAGGACTTATTTTCATTCCGTTTCACAGGTTGACAATGGAGTACGTTACGCCAAAAAATACATAGAAGCTCTCAGTTTCCAATGTAAACCAGACGTGCCACCTTCAGTTGATGAATTTTTAATAATTATGTTCACTGAACTAATTTATTTCATTAGGAGTCGTATTCATTACTGCCATTCATTTTTGTTGCCTTTAACTTACAGAGAAAGCCAAAAAGGGATTAGCAAGTCATGTATACGTTACGAATTTTTTCAGCCCTTCTCAGATATTTATGAAAGTAAAAATTTTTATGAATACTTCTTATGTTAGCAGCTACTGTAGTGTACTTGTCGGTTGACAAGACATAGCCACACAGTATGTTACTCAAGCTGCAAAAAGTAGTCTCCTAAAACTTTTTAGTAAACGAATGACACCCTGATAGATTTACCGAATGGACTGACAGATACTCATTCAAACCGGTCAAATACGCGGATTCGTTAAAACTAGCAAGAACACCTAGTAGCCTCCAGAAGCAGTATCATTCATATCTTCAACCATATTGGTCAGACCGGTGACGTGATGAATCAAATAAGCATACAACCGACATCAGAAGCAAAATAAGATTATAAAAATTGACGCTTATGATTTCTTTAATACTTCAATCTCGTTGATCAATTCACAGGACCGTAAATCTGATCTTCGTAGTCCTCCCTAAGCAAAGCTGCATTCTGGATTACCTAATCAGACAATGTATACTATAAGGATAATTTTGAGCCAATTACACTTTTCACATGTCGCTAAAGATTTAAGAAAAGAATTCCATTATTTATACATTTATTTCTCTGTCTCAAAAAATCCCTGGTAAAAAATACACAGATTTCTGGTTCATTCAAGTACGAGTAAATAAAAGTCACGAATACCACCTAGAATAGCCTTGACTATTTTCTGACACATACTAACGAAATACATTTATGTCGCAAATCTCTGCAGCATCTGGATTCCTAAAATACATCTGGACCTTTATATGCTTTACTTCCTGCTCACATCGACGAAAGAGTGATTAGAGTGAAGAAGCGCTTGATGTGACATCAACATTTCTGCTCTAGAAATAATGTGATACTCATAGGCATGCTCAAGGATGACCAGAACTCAAAACGACGGGTAAACTTCGGGCCAGCGACTACCCTTTCCGGGAGTTTACGCGCTATCCACTGCACCATCGAAACACTCGCTTAACCTTTCTTTCACCCAGTTTTTTACCCTGACGGTGCTAGAGCAATCACCCTTCAACAAGAATGAGCTGGAGAGCACAAATCGGCTCGGTATTGAAACCACATAAGCTGAAGCTACAGTCGAAATCACAATGTATTAAGCACTATTTCCCTGCCTATCTTCCATAGAAAAATACAATACAATACAACAGTAGCTGACGTTTCGGCAGTATCGCCTTCTTCAGGGCCGCTCTTTACGCGCCTTCCAATGAGGAAGATTAGAACAGCTGATTATAGTCGCATATGGCTGACGACTCAGTCATCAACCATATGAGACTATAATCAGCTGTTCTAATCTTCTTCATTGGAAGTCACGAAAAAGCGGTGAGTTTCTCGAGAAGCTGTTGATCATGTAATTACCATAGAGTTTCTCGTCTTTTTGTGTTATTGAAGTGTTTGGCCTAGTAGATTGTATATCACTATACCCTTTCAGGCTCTGAAGAAGGCGATACTGTCGAAACGTCAGCTACTGTTGTATTGTATTGTGTCTCTTTATGGAAGTAAATGTATGCTGTTTAACAACCTCGCGAAATGCCGATGTTAATAGAAAGTCGGTCTTGGGACCTGCCTATTCTATTATTCTCTTTACTATCCTAACAATGTCGTGGTCATTCAGATGTCAAAATTACAAATAAGTAGCCACTCTGGCCAATAGTCGACCAAACCGGCATGATATTCCGTGGATGGATTTCACCATTTCAATTTGACTCGGCGCTTCTGAATAGAAACTGCTCTAGTCAGCATTTAGTAGGGTACGCCTAGCATTTTTAGACAAATCTTGAATACTGACCGCTCAATCTTAACTCTTTTATTTACTACCTTTTTCTTCTTAATGGCAGGGTATGTTGTGAAATATAACTTTAGTTATATTTCACAACTGACCGCTCAGTTAACATTTGGAGAGCACTGACGGCAAAGCGCCTTTGAAATACCCAAATAAATGCCACTATACTTATTTGATACTTAAATGGCCCATCCTCACTAGTTTTGCGGGCACCGGAATAATCCCTATTTTTCGGAGATTTGCTGGTTAAGCCATTGTGGTCTCCTGGAATGCCGAGGTCACCCTGGCCAAGGTCTGGCGCAGGTTTTCACCACCAAAGGCAGTCGCAGCCCTTGTAGATCAGATGGAGATTTGCCATAATGCGACTTTGATACCACGATGGTGGTGGATCCTGGTATTGGTTTACTCTTAGCTAGGCTTCCTAATGGCGATAACGGACTCCGTCCCAGCTCGGGAGACCCTGCCAGAGGATGAATCTCCTTCTGAACATCACAGTCCGACACCCAGGAACACCTCCCAGCCACGATGGGGCAGTAACCCGTTGTGGGGCTACTATATCATGATACAAGCTGATTTCTTATTTTAATCCATCTTCGTCGTTTTTCATCTTTAAAATCTCTTAACATTAGACAAACGTCAACCTATAGAATTCATTCCTAACATGTTCTTGTAGAAATGGAATCCTTCATGAAAATAAACACCGATCATCATGGCCGCATCTCAACACCTCGACAAAGACTCTGACTTACATTGCTAGAATTGTTAAGCATCTGTGCGAAATATTTTATGAAGAAGTGCACCACTATCGAACCATTTAATGGTGTATAGCAAATATATCTACTACAAGTACATTCACTTGGTATTTCTCTAAAGAGTATGATATATCGCAGTGATTTGAAGTGTATCCTACTGTGGTTGATAACAACTAAGGATTCATCAGTCACGACAGTATTGTAGTCGGTGGAGCTTTATGTCAATATGTACACATATTACATGAGTATAACACCGGATATAAGTCTTATATAGCAAAACCACACTATATTTGGCCAGTTATGATGGCAAAGGCTGAAAGTGAACTTGTCAATGGCAATAAAACAACCGTCTGCACAGACGACCACACATATGCCGGTGGAGAAAAAACACCAGACGGACGAATTACCAATCAAATAAAATCTGTGGTGAACCGCTAAGGAAATACGACACAGCGCAAAAAGAGGAACGCTAAAGAGTGCTGGAAGACCAGAACAAATACCAGATCGATATGCACATTCATTTGCTGCTAAAAACTCAACAAAAGACACGTAGTAGACGCAAGATCGTGCGTGACATGACTGAATATGAATCTGTGCATAACAACGAATGGCGTAATGAACATCGGTGTAGGCCTTTTGTAACGATGCTTACTAGCTCAGATTTAGTATCCGCCATCATTCAGTAGGTGTGATGTCAAAAGATACTCATAAGAATCTGAAAGTTATCTGAGATTCCGATTAGCAAAACTCTTGAGTGTTTCGTGGAAATAGCAGATGAAGAACATGTCGGCCTAACACCCTTCACGATCCGGTATTCTCGATCTGTCTGATTATCGACTTCACCACTCCGCTCGCTGTCGGGACCATTGCGTCCAGCTCAGCGACCTGTTCGACCGTCAACGGCGTTCGCTGGCGAGCAGATAGACGGCGTGGAGATATGGTGTCGTCGTCTATAAGCGGAATTCTGCTACGTGGTGAGATCACTTCAGGTATGGTAGGTGTCCGGTCAGACAACACCATTCGGCCATTGCTAACGCGCATATGCTGAAACAAGCTAAAATCAGTCGTATAGATATTTATTCGAATACACTTAACTAATGAGTTATAAAAATGAAGAACAACGGAAGGTAGAAACCGAAATTTCCTTCAAGCTAAAACTAAAATAGAACCGACCGTTTGATTCGAGTGATTAGTCGCAAAATAAAAAATTCACCACGATTTCTTTCGTAAAAGTATTGATTACAAACAGTAATAATATTAGTGTAAAATACAAAGTGTAAAAGGCACTACGACTATTTTTCGCTTGGAGCGCCTGTAAAGCAGTGGTTAGAGGTGCTCTACAACACCCATGAGTTCGACCTCGCACTATAGACCAACCAAGCTTTTCACCCGTCTACGGTCGACGGTGTGGTACCGGACCTGTCTGGGCGGATAACAGCACCAACTCGATGGATCGATAGAGCATTGGAAATCAATGTACAGGCCAGATGTGCACTCAATTAACGATGCTTGAGAATGTCGAATACATGGCACATCCCTCAAGGAACCTCGACATTTTCACAATTCGACCTGTTTGATTTTAGCTTTATTTATAACATTAAGGAGCAGACTTGAAGGTAGAACATTTGAGACGAGGTTGGTTTGGAGTCTCAGTCAAGGTTCCTGTTAGGGTTCGATCTCACCTCGGAACATTCTCCAGTGGTGTGTTTCTTGGACCGTAGTCGCTTAAGTTGATCGACTTTAGAGAAGCGGCGCTCCGATCCGAAGGAATTTCTGCAAATCAAGCAAATAAGGAATAAAGATTTTCGTCCTTACGATGGATGTAAATAGGGAGTAGGTAACTCAGTAGAGTTACTAACAAATATAAAACAACTATTTTAGTTGAAACCGCACCACCAAAAATTTTCATTTTACTACATTGCTCCCTTTATTACAATTATTTAATAATTTATCGTATTATTTACTGCCTACTCTTTTTAACGGCAGGGTATACATTGTGAAATAAAACTTCAATGATGCTGAGATATTTTCAAAACTCCGGACTGCAGGTGTATGCGGTGGGGAACGAACACGCGCTGTTGTCCTTACCGGGGGCAGCGCACATCTGGGCAGCCCAAATCCCGTTGACTGGTGATTGCTGATGGCAAAAAGATCGATAGAACTAGCTGAGAGACAGGCAAGACGAAGCACCAGGATGGTGTGGTGGTGAAGTGCGCTGCCTCCGGTATGGACAACAGCGCGTGTTCGTTCCCCACCGCATACACCTGCGGTCCGGAGTTTTGAAAAAATATCTCAGCATCATTGAAATTATTTAATAGTTTGTTATAAACCAGAAAACTCCAGTTCCTTTCACAACGACAAACAATGTGTTTACTGATGAATAGGGTTTGTTCTCCTTCCAACTTATTATATTTGTCAGTATAATCGGACCGACTACTCCAGTGTGAGTAATTCTGTCTTAGATGTCCTACTACTACGATGGTCCTCCTGTCAAACCATTTCGCTCATTTCATTTTCAACAGATAAAATAACTTGATGGTGAGATTAAACTCCGGGGAAAAAAAAACTTTCTTCACTTACTGAGACATTTCACTGGATGTTGGCCCGGCGTTCGATGCTGGAGGATCTTGAGGGTTATTTGCGTTACTAGCGAAGTCGTCAAGCCTTGTAAGCGATTTTGACCGATTCTTATTCACTACTTGCTGCCTATATGCGAGCACTTCTTGCAAGTCTTCTCTATTGGTAACATTCTCAAATGTCCCCGATGCGTTTTTCGCCTAAAAATTCACTAAACGGAATTAAAATTTGTCAACATGCATCGATTAGAAATCATTTCCTTAGGAGAAAGAAATACCATGGTGTATTTTGAAAATTTTTAAGAGTCTGACCTGAGTCTTAGGACTGATATCGCCGCATAAAACCAACTCCTTGAACAGTTCATCGAATGTCTCATCGATTTCCTCACAATCAATACGAGCTGATGAAGATCGCATCTAAACAAGGTGTAAACCAAAAATATGGCTCCGAGAAAAAAACAAAGCATCAGTTCGATATAAATTACACACGTCACATTTCGGCATCAATGATCGCTTATTCCTTGCCATGTTATAGCGACTTCTGGAAGACACTACTGCCTCAGGAGCCGGCGGTGCTGACGTAGCTTCTACTTCACCGTTAAGGATTATCGTAGACGCCGAAACTGTTCGTAAGACAGGCGCTTTTGAGACGGCCGAGACTCGCTAGAAAATGGAAATGATCTTAGTTGCTGATGTCACGCTGCGAGAAAGTACTTCAAAAAAATTCAATTAAATTTTTTTTCAATTTTTTTCAATTTTTTAAAAAAAATTCAAAATTCAATTCAATTTGCACTTTAAATACTCACTGCTGGAAGCGGTTCTCCACTTGGTCCTGGTGTCGAAGCCAAATGACAGTTGCATTTCGGCATTAGATCGGTCGCATCGAAAAGCTTACATCGTGATGAATCCGACACAAGAAACGTCTAAAAATCAGCCGGTAAGATTTGCTGATAGATAGTATAAAGTACAAATACTTCAGTATTACATTGCTGGCTCCCAGTAATCGAGACGCCGACAAACTTCGACGTCGATTCTGTTCGACGCGGCCCTTCTCGACACTTTTACGGCGTTTTTCCAAGTACTTCGGTACACGTTTGTGATTTTTAAAGGACACTGAAGTAAATTTTGAACGTAGCTGCAGAACGGCAATGAAATCTCCTCTTTTAGTACAAACAAAAGCAAAGTCGATCGAAGGTATCTAAGGAAACTGACATTACTTCCATAATAGTTCCTCAATTTTAATTCTAGAAGCTTCAGATATAATGCCGATGTATTAAATTTAAAACTGCTCGATACTGGTATTCTAAGCATTGAGTGACCGCATTCCGTTGGCGAATAAATTTATCTTTAAAAAGCTTTCACAATGCATATATATTTTTATAAAATTTTGTCAATGGCGCGTGTGGCGCAGTGGTCAGACAACATACACAGACGTGGAATCCATCCCTACGCCGATGGCTCACCAAGCCTTCCATTCCTCCGGCGTCGGCCAATTGGTACCAGACTTGTCTGGGAGGATAGCAGCATTGGCTCGATACATCGGCAGGCCACCGCGTATCATTGTAAAGGCCAGATATGCATTCAGTCACCTCCAAAACGATGCTTAATGAATTCGAATGCATGGCGCATCCCTCAGGGATTGACCAACTCCAAGAGCTTTATCCTACATCACTTATTATCATTGGCTCAAAAGTGGAAGTGAGGATGCACTGATAAACCTTCAGCAAATTCCGGTCTTCCAAATGCGACTCGCTGCGTGTTGTCCATGTTCAGCATCAGTTGCTTCGTCTTCTCCGGAATTTCAATACCATAATGGTCCAGCATCATTCTTTTCAATTCGATCATCCACATTTTCTTCTGATCGCTTGATGATGCCTAAAGTTTGCAGCGTAAGAGCTAAATACATGAGTTCCGGCATTTGGTAGGAAAGAATAAATGAACAACGTTTAAAAACTAACGAGGAAAATATACTGGGCACGTGGATTATCAAAAGAGAGGACTTGGAACGCGAGGGGCTCTTCAGGATAGATCGACTCATTGAGCATCAAGTTAGACGACTGAAATTTATTCATGATCACACTAAAATTGATTATTTCTAACAGGTCAGATACAGCGAAATTATTTCTAGGTAGAAGAAAACGCTCCTTCACAACCCACCATTGTTATATCACTAATGTTACTAGAAAGAAAAACAATCAAACTTCTACAATATAGTTTTTGGCATCATTATATATATATATATACATATATATACACATATATATGCGCGCATATATGTGTATACAACCACAATGATAGTGAGATATTTGCAAAGCTTCAGACCGTAGGTGTCTGCGGTAGGGATCGAACCTGTTATTACCCTTTCCGGGGCTAACACGTTCACCATCACACCATGTGGGCCCTTCGTTTCGCTCTTTTTCCAGCCAGTTTTCTCTCTAACACTGCCATCATCGAAACATATACGCATATATTCACTGTTGATACAATGATGTCCCAAGCGCATCGTTATTTCGATAAAAATTTAAACCTCTTCAGCATCATAAAGAATCGAATTTTGAACAAGCATAAAACCAGAAAAAATGTTGCGTAGAAATTATATTTGCCTTTAAAACGAAAGGGAAAATATCCTTCTGCAATTTCTTCAATTTCTCAAGTGCACGAACTATCGAGAAATTACAGGCGGTTGTCGAAATATCCGTTCTATTGCGACTCTTTGTAGTGGAGGATCCCCTTTCTCTTTGTTCCGGTGTTTTCCTTACAAAGAATACAATGAAGACAAAGTTAAATGATAACTACCGAGTACTGGACATCGAATTGCAAGTACTACGCGCCTGTCTACGAAGCAAACAAGACCAAGATGTTCGCCAAGTGGAAGAAGTGCGAGAAGAAAGAAAACTATTCTGCTCAGTATTTGGAGGACCGCCTCTGAAGGGAAATAGTAGGTGGGCCAGTGTTGATGTGCAACTCTATTAGGTCTAATGCTAAAGTAGCTTTGCGGGGAAAATTCGAAGACTTGAGTAAATCGCATAACACGGTTTCAAGAGCGTACAGAAACGCCGCCAATGAAGAGCAAACGAGTCACAGTAGTGTAAATAATGTGCAACGAAATTCAAGGCTAAACGTGCTAGGAGGCATGACCCTCCCTGACGGTGCGCGCTCGTTATTAGAATTGAGACCGAGTTTCTCACCATCTGAACCCATTTCTAAAGCAACCTTGCGTAGGGTCGCATGTAGTTTACATAAACTTCAAGATAGACTTCGCGAAAAAGCTAGGGATGAAGCGCTAAATAGGCACGAATAACAAAAAGTAGGGGCAACACCAGTAACACCATTTCCTCAACCGTTATTTAGACAACAAGAGTCCAATAATGAAGTTGACATAAAAGTTCGGACGTTTGCGAATGAAACTTTCAAAGTCCTTAATCACTATCGCGCCAAGAGATACTGCTCTAACCTCATCGAAATACAAAAACGTGGTATGCGGGAGGTACGAGAGCTGATAAGGTCGAAAAACATAGAGCTGTCGGCTAGTGATAATGGTGGAGAGTTCGTTGTAATACCCCATCAGTTAGATGTTGAAATAACGGAAAAGCACCTTGAAGATGCTTCTCTTTATCGTCCGTCGTCTGAGAAAAAGTTTAAAAGTAAATACCGAAAATTGAACCACGAATGGGTTAAAGTGGCAAGAGCGGCTGGGTTAAAACCATCACTTATCTCTCATCTCAATGTTGACTTACCAACATGTCCCGTCCTGTGCTTATCAAAACCCATAAGTTAGTATCCAGTGATGATCTCGTGTCTACCGATCCATCGTTATTTAAGGTTAGACCTATCATTAGCTGCGTGGACGAGCCAACGGATAGAATAACGTGGTTAATAACCCTAATACTTACCCAGTTCTTTAAGTACATTCCAGCTCATCCAACGAACACCCAAATGTTCCTGGGTCGTCTACGTAACGCGCGACCCAACAGCGCGTACGTGGTGGAGTCCTTCGACGTCACTGCCCTCTATACGAACGTGTCGAATGACTCCGCTATGCAAGCCATCCGCGAGTTCCTTACAAACACGAAAGAGCAATAAACATGTACGGCTTTTCGATTCAGCAGTTGATGACCCTCTTAAAGGAGTGCCTAAACTGCTGAATCTTCATATGGTCCTGGAGGTATTACGCACAAATGAGAGGGCTGGCAGTGGGACAACGACTGGCACCAAGCCTTGCCATTGCATTCATGTCTAACGTGGAAGCGCCAGTAATCGACCTTGGTCCGTTACTCTACTGTTGATATATAGATGACTGCTTGGTCATTTGTTCAACGCAAGAAGAAATCGACAGATGTTTCGAGTTGTTGAGTCAGAGTATATTAAATTCACCCGAGATAAACCGAACAAAATGGCATCCATTCCTGAAAGTCCAAATTAACCTATCAGAAAATGGCTACATTACGAAGTGGTACCGAAATCCAAGTAGTAAAAACATCTTGGTTCATTACCTCTCCTCTTCCCCTCTCACACGAAAAGGACGCTTGTGAGAAACATGTTTCGAACAGCTATCAGCGTGTGCACAGGAAGACAGCAGAGAGAGGAGTTCCAGAGTTTGACGCGGCAAGTAGCCATTTTTAATGGCTACGAAACTGTAGCTCGGAATAGGTGTAGAGGAGTCGACAGGTACCCTAACGATAACTCTAGCAACAATAAGGTCCCGTTAATGCTGCCCTTCATTTCAAATGAACCAACTATAAGTAAGTGCAGCTATAAAACGCTGTTTAAGAAGGGCCGGTATAGAGAATGCGGTAACGGTAATCGAAATGCCACCGAGTAATCTAAGACGCCAGCTAGTTCGTAACCACCTATACGACCTTCTATGTGCAACGCAAGATTTCATAATTTGCCCCAGTGGTAGAGAAGGTGACTGCATGAGTTCGGGTACAGTCTATCTGATCAATTGTAAAGCGTGCGGGGACGAATACGTTGGCGAAACGGGAAGACCACTCTGCGTGCGTCCGTATAAAAGAATACCTAGTCGGTAAACGTAAACCAAATACTCCACTAGGCACGAATAGGACGCAGAGACATAACAGAGAAGACTTTGAAGTAAGTGTTACGATCCTCGCGCAAGATTCGAGAACACAAGCGCGCGAAACTCTAGAGGCATTCTCGACTAGTTCCAGGAATCCGAAAATAAACCGCAGGGAGGAGTGCCTCATTATCACACGTGATATTGGGCAGTATATAAGCCTGTTATTTTGATGAGATGGGCACGATACGATTCTGTGTGATCTCTGTGCGGTTGGCCTCCACGTGACATATTTAGTGGAAGACTCATAGAAAGCGGTGAGTGTGCAAAGACTCCGTGTTCAATCAATGTGATTGAAATTTTGGTTCAGCATTTTCTCTCTTTGGTTATGGAGATGTTTGGCCGTGTAGATTGCAGTCAACTTGACCTTTCTAGGCTCTGAGGAAGGCGAAATCCGCCGAAACGTCAGCTTGCACGTAAATAAAGAAATAAAATAACACTTCGTGTTTTCCGAAAAGAAGTAGAAAAAGTTAAATGAATCGACGATGTTATTCCGTATGGTTCAATCGTATTCGAATACAAAGATGCTGAAATATTCGCAAAACTTAGACCGCGGACCTGATCCATGGGTTCAAGTCTTGCGAATATCTCAGCATCGTTGTGGTTGATTTCTCATAATAACATGCCGTGAAAATTGCAGTAGGCGGTACATAAAAAAGTAAACACTCGAATAGTTGTTTGACATGTTCCATTATCAACTACTAGTTAAGTTTAGAACAGAATGCCATCAGCACGCTTATATAAGTAAAACAAAGCCTACCATAATATAATCTTTACAGATATAATTCGAGTTTCTCTGCTTTACGATCAACAACATCTCTTCGAACAGAAACAGTAGCCGCGTGGTTTTCGAACCAGCCTGACGAAACGACGCCTCCAGCAACAACTCGCCGTACGCCAACAAGTTGGCGGTCTGCTAAAACTAAGGACCATTATAAACGACTTGATGCAATGGTCACCTGTCATTGTTCAATAAATGTTTTCCTCATTACTACAATGAAAAATGGTCTGCGATCTCTATACTGTGTTCTAACTCCTAACCTACTTTACTTACACTATGAGTAAATATTATATAGCACAATAACGACGAGGTTCTCGCCAGTCAGTACCCAAAACCACTAAAATGTATAGGAATAAATGCAACTCCTTGTTCAATACCGATTTATGCTTCCTAGATCACTCCAGCCGAGGGTGATTGCTAATGGCACTGTTAGTAGAAAATTGACTGAAAGAAAGGCAAAGCGATGACCTCAATGGTGCAATGGGTAACACGTGAGCCTCTGAGAAGTGTAGGAGCGAGTTCGCTCTATCCTAGGGTCGGACGTTTTGCAAATACGTTAGCATCGTAGTGGTCATAAACCTGGGAAACTGTTTAAGGATAGACGATTTGCACTTCAGAAATACAAAAACATGATCTGGATGAACAAGCATGGATGGGTTATTTGGTGATAAGAAATAAACCGCTCCACCAGCGCTTAAACTTTGAGAAGCAGATATATAGATGGGTAAAATGATTTGAAATGAATTTTTCATTGACCGTCAACATTTCAAGAAATCAAAATTTAGACAGAGTTGAAGCTTTCTAACAATGGACATCCCCATTTCGCACTATATCCAGTGTACAGCACTATTAAGGGATAGTAAAATGGCCATTTTGAGCATTTCTGTCCTTCTTTAGCACTTACCTTATCCACGCTCCACTTCTGGATGGCGGCCTGTAGCTGCTCGACGCGCTCGGCGTGTTCGGCTCTTCGCTTCTCGTCGTTGATTCGAGCGGCCTGCGACGTCATCACCTCGTGGGCCCGCTTCACCACCCCGTAGTCGTCCGCAGACAACGAGCTCGGCAAGTGTTTCAACATATTCTGCAGGACATACGAGGGTAATTCGCCGAAAAAAGTTATCAAGAAGAAAAGAAAAACAACGAATCTATGTCAATACGTCTATCCTTTTTTTCTTAACAAATTTGCAACCACACTTCTTTTCGATAAATGCTGATGATTTCCCGATAACCAGAGTACTTGAATGGTTGGCTACTTCACAAAGACTTTGTTATATCGTCTTAAAGGCATCATTTTTAAAACATTAATAGTTTATGAACTTTATAAAATTCGGAATTTCTAAAGATCTTGAACGAAATTTAAATTTTTGGAGCTTTCACCACAATCGCGTCACTGATAAACCCCAACGACAGTTTGGGCATGCACGCTTGGTTGTCTTTCGTGGCAAACTACGCGCTTCAAAGAAAAAAAGGCGAAGAAAAACGATTTTTAATGGTCGGATTTGTACCTTGTTTCAAATATTTATAGGTTATAACCGTATGAGCACACGTTTGTTTACTTTAAAGTTGGAAGAGTAGTCGACTTTAAGAGCTCATGTATTGAAATCAATTCGCATGGTCGTGAATACGTGAAATAACAATTTTTCCTTTAAATATTACCCAATCACTATGTGATCAAGAAATTCCAGTGTACTTAGAAAACAAATAACTAGCATTACCTTCAACAATGATCACGTGAGCTCAGAACGAATACAAAGAGTTACCTTTGGCATTATTATCACTAATGTTAGTGTTTAACGTTTTGTTTTCTGCCTTCTATAATTTTCATGGCAGGTTACTAAGCGAAATACAACCACAACGTTGCTGAGATATTTGCAAAACTCTGGACCGCAGGTGTCTATGGTGGGGAACGAACGCGCTATTATCCTTTCCGGGGAGTCAACTACAGCCATAGCTTAACTGGGTTCTATGCCGATTTGCGCTCCCCAGATCAACCCCGCTGACGGGTGATTGCTGTGGCAAAAAGATCGATAGAAATAGCTGAGAGACGTGCTAAACAAAGGACCCGCATGGTGTGGTGGTGAACGCGTTACTCCCCGGAAAGGATAATAGCGCGTTCGTTCCCCACTAATGTTAGTATTTGTGTTCACATTCTCTTACTATTCATTCCAGTATCTCCCTTTTTGTTCAGAAATTCTTTACGCTCACTAGTCTTAAGGTGTTCAGCATGGAAAGAAACGAGTCAATAGCGAGAACCTCAATGAAATGCTGCGCTTACCTCAATGAATAGGTGGTATTTGAGAACTCGCTGAACGGGCTTAAGCAGGTAGGCGCTGAGCGGAAGGGCATGGCCGAGCGCCGACTGACGCTGCGCCAGGGCCGCCGCCATCTGCGGCAGCTGCTGCAGCTGCGTGAGCGTGGCGATCATCCTGGAACGGAGCGGAACGGATCGTCTTCACAAAAAAAGTCTCCGTCAATTCTTAACTACTGTTTATCTGAGAACATAGTTAATTGTCAGTGCTGCTCATAAACTTCGCGAATTAAATTAACAAAGTTAAAACAAATAAAACAAATTAAATTAACAACGTATTCCATTGACTTTATACGGAATCTGGAAATCTTTGAAGCCTACAATTACCCACTGAAGCCAATAATAACTAATTTCAATGTATCTCTGCTTATGTTAAAATCGAAACACCACTCTCTGAATTAGGGTTTGAAGAAGTCTTGGCACCATTTGCCGTTTAACAGATGAATGATTGGTATAATTGTGATAAGAAAGTTTACGATCACCAATAAGAGAACATTCATGTCATTTCATGTCACGATGTCATTCACCAATTTGATGGGTAATGGTAGGTTTAGAAAAGCGTCTGTCAAATATTTACCGATGATAATTCGTGCAGTACACGATGTAGTCTTCGAATTTACCGGCGTTATCCACGAAACAACGGCTCATCTAAAAAGATATCATATCTCCAAATATTTTCTAAAAAGAGCAGTTGCTACTGTTGCGAATATGTTGATCGTCTAAACGGCACATTAGATACTGTTACGATACTGGTTTAGCATTTTCTCTGCTTGGTTATGGAAGTGTTTGGCTGGGTAGATTGCTGTCAACTTGACCTTTCGAGGCCCTGAAGAAGGCGAAATCCGCCGAAACGTCAGCTCGTTCTTCAATAAAGAACAAGATCACACCTTGTGCTTGCTCAAGAAGAATATATAGAGTTATTAAACGATCCACAATTATAAACATAATAGTAGAGATAAATTTTATACTCAAACACCACCACTGTAGTTCATATTTGAACTTTCTTCTTGTATGTTCACAACAATCACCAAAAGGGAAGAACGATGTTTACATGAAAAAAAATTATAACGGTAAACAATTTTTACAAGCTACTTTTCCAAAGTATGCCAGTTTGAGTGGATTCCAATCATAGGCTAAGAAGTTCTGTGCAGTAGCTAAAACGATTTGTGCGAATCAAGGCTGAAAATCCGGAATGCTTACTCACTTTGACACAATCCAAATCGGCCAAATCCAGCTGCTGAAGCAGTTTTCGATTAAAAGCGTAGATACGTTCGATGCAACCAAACAGTGACGAGACATCGTCCAGTGTCACACCCAGTTCGTCACGGTGATCGACAAGGAAGTTTAGGTAACCCTGAACGAAATACTGATTGCGGCAAGTAGATAGAATAAGAAAGGGAAAGAGGAAAAAAAACTATTAATGAGTCTAAAAGAGACTAATAAATAAAAAGGACAAGATAAAAGAAGAGAATGGAATAAAACGGCATGAAGAAAGCGGAGGAAGGAGAAGAAAACAGAGAAAGACAATAGGTATTAGATGTGTGGAAGAATGAATGCTCATCGAAGTAAAAAAATGAGACACTAAGAAAAAGGTAGATTGGGAATAAAAATTGAGATCTATAAAGTTCACACACACTCAAATATTAATTCGTTCATGGAATCGATCGGATCAACAGATGAGAAGCTGACAAAAACCTTGAATATACCATAGGAAAAGACAACAGTTTGTGAATTGAAGGGATTTGCTAGCCACCACGTATTAACAAAGTGATTCTGACCTGTATCACTGCGTACAGATCGTCCACATACATCTTCTCGGTGTCGAAAAGCTCAATTGCGATACGATCAATCTGTGATGGAGCGCCTCCAGACAGTAGTGCTGACCGTCTGGACGACGACAGCGACAACGACGAGCTGTGGCTGCAAAGATTGACGTGGCCTCGAAACAAACTCCACTCGACTACAACAAGACACTGTGGGCACCGAAAGGAATCGAATTTCTGGCTCTCAGAAACATTAAACCATCTCTGAAGCTATTTGCCCACAGTTGTTCGCCTTAAGGAAATTTACAACTCAGCTCAATAAACCACCACCTATAGAAAACACTTGTTAACAAATTATCTTAGTTGATCCCAAAACAGTGGATACTTTATTAGCAATTCCATAGACAACGTATTTACACATTTATGGCATTTCCAATGTCACTCTTCATCTATTGTTGGCATAAATCGTTTATTTTGATTTCTATCTTTTCAATTCTAAAGCAAAGCTTTGCCTCATATACCTCCTTTACACTCATGCTGTGAACCCTCTGAAAAGGCGGTGATCTTTAAAAAAAAGGAAAATAATTCTACATTAACCTCGAAACGATCTAATGTCTAGTACGCTCTCTAAACTAATCTCATCAAATATTGAGAGGAATGTGAACTATGTTGCTGTTGCTGAAAAGAAATGCATAACTGATCTCACCTGGCAATACCACTGTCTCTGTTGATATGGTCTTCTCCTCCATCAGAACTTCTAAGAGAAGACCGTGCTGAGCTGTATCCGGTCGATGAAGATACAAAAGACAGTCGAGTAGGATCCTGAATATATTTTTAAGTCGTCAATCCCTGATAGCATGAAATCTGTCACATTTGGCGATTGTATGAAGTCTTCACATTGTGAAAAAAGCATTTCAGTGAAAGAAGACGAAACTTACAGAAAAAATGGGAAGTCGCAGCATTCTTTTTTACTTTGAGGAAAACAGAACCGAACCAAAGTTTTTGACTTGGGGAAAGAGTAGAAAATAATACTTGACTTGTTTATACACCTCAATTACAGGCATATTTGGAACTAAACAAGTTAGGAAGTTGCTTTAAAAATTTATTCATCGTCACAGTCAAGATTACGCATTTGCAGCGATCGCTCCTGGCTTTTGTTGCGTGTGGCAACAAAAACATAAATATGTATGAGTGCCTTGTTAGTTTCAGAAATGTAGATTTGGGTAGTTTCTGCCATTAATAGAAATCTGATGCGGTAAAACTCAGTAGAACATACCTCCTCGGAAAATCGTGATGATGTCAGTGATGTAGGAGGCATCTCATCGGAAGGAAGGCGGCTAAACTTTAAAAATTATAAGAGTGGCATCAAGATATTAAATAACGGAAGAGAAAGTGTTTGACATCGAAGAAGACCATTAGGAATTACAATCGATTAGCGGCTTTTCGGAGAGACGACAAAGGCGGTCTTTGCTCAAGAAGCGCTGACGGTGGTTTGGCCATTAAATGTGCATGAAGCGGGAGGATCCAGCGGGTAGCGGCGACGAAGCGACATCGAGGAGGTGATGAGCGAGGGACGGATCGGACGAGGACGTCTCACCTCAGACGACCACGGATCGCGCCCGCCCTCCGCCCGTCATCGTCGCCGGGCGACAACGAGGTTGCGAACGAAATTCCGACTACAGTTGATTGAATCGCTCAATGCTTTTTTCAGTGTTTGCTGTTCGCCCTCAAGAACAATCTACGTAACTGCGAAAAAACCGTCTTTTGAATTTGTTTGAAGTGAAAGACGCTCTTAACAATCACAGCCTAAGTGCGACAATCGACGAAAACGAAACGTTATGATATAGCAGCAGTTTTGGTAAGAACAAACCTTGTAACAGACAAAGTTCGAAAAATGACCACATGTGTCTGAAGAGAATAATGGGAATCTATGAAATAAATAAGCTGTTTGAAGCAAAATCGTCAGCTGTTAGAAAGCTATGACTAACGCTTCAATGCTTTAGAAGCACACAATCCCTGACAACACATGAAGGAAGAACAAGTTAGTTAAATCTGTAGACCTACACGAAGGAAGTTTCAGAAGCACCCATCGACCAAATAAGTAATAAGAAAATAATCTTTTGAGCAGTATTAGAAAGTGAAGTACCTGATATATATATATATATATATATATATATAATGGTTTGGATGCGAATAGTATAGTTTGAGTAGGATACCGAACAAAAACGAGCTTATTATTTACTTATTATTAGCTTGTTATTTAACTTATTATTTACTCCCTACTCTTTTTAATGGTAGGGTATATTGCAAAATATACTTAAATGATGCTGAGATATTTGCAAAACTCCGAACCCCAGGTGGCTGCGGTAGGGAACAAACGCCCTATTACCCTTTCTAGGGTCTAACGCGTTCACCACAGCACCATGTGGGTCCTTCGTTTCGCCTGTTTCTCAGCTAGTTAAAAGAATAAAAATCTTTTCCTTATAAGTGCTACATGATGTAAAGCCAGGTCGGAACAAAGATGTCAACCTCTATAGTCTGTGAATTCTTAAAAACGGCAGATCAAATGCTAATGGTTAACAAGATCTATACTTTCAGTATGAGTTGAAAAAATGAACGGTTCTAGACTACGGAGGAAACCTTCCAAAATCCACCGAATAGTTGGAAACCAAAACTGACTTGACATGCAATGATTTTTAAGAAGTTTGAGGAAAATCTTAGCGCGAGCACAAAATACGCGCCTCGTCATATAAGTGATCGACGAACATCTAAGAGAAAAAACCCCTGTAAAAGTGTCTGAGAAATCAGAATGTGCAGTGAGACTCTTCACAGTTTTCTAAAGTGAATCGAAAGACTTTTTCCATAAGGCTACACAAAATTTTATGAAGAGTGTAGGAAAACGAAGTGAATCGTACATAGGCGCGCGTCATGAGGACGCCATACCTACTCATGAACGTTCAAAAAAAAACCTTCCGCACAGGACTTTTGATAAGAACAAAAACTCCACCAAAGCTCTTTTGAGGACGACTAGAAAACGTTAAATGAAACAGCCCAAATATTAAATTTGCGGATATGAAAAGATTTAAGGCCATAAGAATAAAGTGGTGAGAAGGTTTCAACTCTCGGAAGAGAAAAACGCAGGAATGAGAATGGGTCTGGAATTTTGAGAAATGTGGTGAAGCAAAGGAAAAAGTGTCCAATATTAGAAAGTGTTTGGAGATATTGATAGAACAAAGTGTGATGGGATAAAAAGCAAGAAAAGTTAGGAAACAGTCCGTAAAATGAAAATAGAGACAACAAAGGCACGAAGTGTGAAGAGAAGATTGCACATGTATAACAGATATGAGAATGGATGGATTCACTCAGTGATAGAGTAATTGACCAGAACCACAACGCATGTTAGTTTTTCAGTCTGGTAAAAAGCACAAGACTTTACAGGGTAACTATGGCAGAACCTGTCGTAGAACGAGTTTCTACTGGAGGAGTGAGCGACGAGTATACTGGGAGACAAAGTGAACTTCAGAGGGCATCTTGCTGGCACCATTGTCTTGCTTTCAATGTTTACTAGAACAACCAACGTAATTGATAAGGCCAACTTGTCAACTCGTACGCATCTCTAAGAGCAAATCGGAACGACACCACATGACTTCCGCGCTAACAACACCAAGTACGAGGTTGCATTTATTCGTGTATGAATCCTTTCCTCTGCTTGCACGTTGTTTTTCAACGATGTTAATCTTGGCGACGAAAATTGAACACTCTGCAAACCTAGCAATTCATCAACATAGAACCTCAATCAGCCAGAAGACAGGCAATGAAATGGTGCAGCGGACACCAGTCTTCAGCTTCTTTTTCTCGATTCTCAGCCCGAGACACTTATCATACACTACCAACCGGAAGCAACTCAACAACCCAAACTTTAAAAAACTTTCCAATCCATTTTAACAAAATTTCAAAAATAATATAGATTAAAAATACAATTCGATCAGCCAAATTTTCTAGTAGCTTCTCCTTCTTCGACAATTTAGTCACAGAATGATTCCTTCAAGCAAGAATTCGTGCCCATTACTATCGTCATAATCTTGGGCTACGATTTGTACTAAGTCACAACATTTCCTTATACAGTTCCACCAAGCGTGAATGATAAATGGTTACTAATATTATGATTTCTATTACTACTATTTTGGCAACGAAGCAAAGCTGACCAACATTAAATCAGGCGGTCGGCATTTCTGTAGGATCTCGTATAATGCTGGACAATAGTATGACAATTTACACGGCTATCATGGACATAATTTCTGCTATTGAAATACTATCGCCACTTGAACGGGATTATGGTGTATGTTCTCAAAAGCTGAAGAGAGACAACATGTGAAGAAAACATTCAGTGTTCAGTAAATGAAAGGAGGTTTTCGATTAGACGAGATAGCACTTCGTACAGAAACAACAAAATGACGGCGCAAAGAAGAAGAAACAGCGTATAGAGATAAGATACTAGGAATAAAATATGGCTTAAAGAAATTGGCAGCAAGGCCAGAACTGTCTTCTGTTTCTCGTGGATCTAAATTCAAAAGGCTTGTAGAGTCTGGCGCAGGTGTGTTTGATAATTCAACAACACAACACCGCTAGTAACAAATGCCTCTCGAGTCGCAGTAGCACTACATGGAACAAAGTGCGGCTGGAGAGATATGGCAGTGTTGATAGTAATGCGGTGGAGGAAGTGAACGACTTGGAAACCGGAGACAAACGATATTTTTGCTTAGTCCATCAGTAGAATTTAAAATATGTTAACTTAGAACAATTTTCACGGCTACAAGAAACCCTATGTCACTTTGAGAGCCGTTGAATTCAAACAATTGTAATGATACCAGAATAAATTAAGTGCACATAAAAAAGGATAAAATGTTAAGTGTAGATCATTTGCTGAGGGATGTGCCATGCATTCGACCTTACTAAGCATCGTTTGGAGGTGATCGAATGCATATCTGGGCCTTTATAATGACTCGTGTTGGCCTATCTATGTACTGAGTTAATACTGCTGTCCTCCCAGACAAGCCTGGCAACAATTTTCCGACCCCGGAGGGATATAAGGTTAGTGAACCCCGAATGGAGGAGGCGGGATCGGACCAACGACCACGTGTGTTTTGCGGCCACCTTTGACCAGCAGCGCACTAAACACGCCCTATTTTTAGCAAAGAAAAACTAAAATCGAAAACTTTAAAAATCTAACTGTTAGGGCGACGTCAGTAAATAAATAAGACAAAAAGTTGTACTAGTGGAATTATT